CTCTCTTTTGGAGAAGTGAATGTAATGAACTTTTGTAGATGTTTAATTTATATTCATATTGCCTGAAGGTTAACCAGGCCTCAATCGTGCCACTGGATCTATCCTTGGACCAGGCTTTGTCTCTATTGTGGAAGACACTGGAGAGTTGTGGGGAGAACCAAGGTCTGAAGCTGTTTTAATGTCTATATCTATCATATCTGTAAGCAACAACGTTAAAAGAGTTTTCAGTTTTCCAATGCCACGGCAGGATTGGCAGATTGACAATTCCGCCTCCCTTATATCTTCGATTACATCAAAAAACGTTGTATCCATCTAAAGTAATGTCATTTTTTGGGATCTTAGGGGAGAGCCAATGTCAGTCAGGGTGAGGACATCTGGGGAGGTTTAATGAATCAGAATATGAATGTTGTCAAATTTTGGAAGCAGGCTTCTGTTGTTAAAATGTAACAGTCTGAACCGGTGGGGAATTTTAAATATGCTGACGTGCCCTACAGACACAGTGTATAAGACATTAAAACTCCTGCAGGTATTTAGGTATGCTTCAGTCACTTCAGATATCTATGGAGCATTATTCTATTTAGATCGAGGAAATCAATTATCAGTCACTACTCTGTGCAGTCGTGTCTAATCACCAGCTTGCAGCATGTTATTGTTTAGTGATAGATGGGTAGTTCTAATTTATAGGACGTGAGTTAAGAAGATGATTGCTATAACTCTACAATACAATTACTGTATTACTGTGGGTTTTACTGCCCACAAGTTTATTATTTTGATTCAGTCTCAGCGGTATCAACAAGCTCGTTTTCAGGCACAGGAGGCTGCTGTTTCCAGCAAAAAATCTCCAAGGGCCCACTGTACGCTACCTGTCCAGCAGCAAACGTCAGACAGACGAAGTTGGACACTAGCTGGTGGAGCATATAGCAGCTTAAGAGCCAGGTTTACTTACTTAGGAGTTGACAGAAAAAGAGACCAAAAAAGAGCTAAAAAGAGAGTGAAAATTGGATTTACTTTCATCAGCCAGAAAAACAACTCCAAATCAATACTAATGTTGCCTCATGTCTGCTCGATGTGAAATAGGAAACCAAGTGGCCAAAAAATAAAAATAAAAATAAAAATCAGTTAAAGCCAGTTAACAGATTTCTGGCCTGTGACAGCATAGGCTGCTTGTGGATTTGCATGTTTCATCCAATTTACTACAAGTCACATGAATATTACCTCACAGCTATGCTATGCTGTTGTGCTTTAGAACATTTTTATTGACTTTTTCTATTCCAGGTGTCCATTGGTTTCCATTCAGTTCTTTACGGTATGAAAATCTATTAGCAGAATCTCAATGCTTTCGTGAGTCATGTAATCCAGCACAGTGAAGAACAAGTCTACGTTAAAGTTACATTACTGAGATGAGGTCATGAATGAACAACCTTTGCAGCCTGGAAATGTAAAATGGTGCCAAAAATAGTCAGCAAAAATGGCATATTAATAAATTGTAGTTAAAGACCTGAAACCTTATATCCCCTTAAATATCAGTCCTTTAATTTACTGTCACTAGAGGTGTCTCCAAATTCCTCTTTCTGTAGGAGTTTGTAGACATCCCTAAAATCTGAGATTCAAATGTAACCCAGGCAAGCTAGATTTGGTATGTAACAAATTTGAAAGTCTAGCAAATGCCACCAGCATAGATACCTGAAACCTCTAGCACAGACCAGACAGAGCAGTACAGAGAGTAAGAGTTTGCACTACCACAGTAACAGTTTTGACAGCAAACAAAGTAGAGTTTACTGCTTTTGGATGTAAACCGGAGCCTGGAGCTTCCTTCCACTATCTACTACTAAATTACAATGTAACAATGTGAATGCACTGTGACATCGTACCTGATGTTATTGCATGTTTCACAACCACTACCGCTGTGTCAGTCACTGCCAGTTACAAGCTAACAAGCTAACAAACAACGTAAACAAACACAAAAAAGCTAACTACAGTTACCATTCTGATACATCTGCCAGTCACTGATTTTGGTGCACAACAATCACCTCAATACTCGTCTGACGGAGGCTCAAGCATGTGGTCTATGGCTGTATCTGTTTCCTCTAACGCTAGCCATCTTGATGCGCAATGCTCTTTCAATGGTCAACCTAGTGCAGGCAGCAGTGGTGGGCGTGGGCATTTATAGATCCAGAACATCTCAATGAGGGAGAAAAAGTTGTTTTAGTTTTTTTTTACTTTTTATGTAAGAAAACCATGTTAAACCAATTATAGCAGTGTTTAATGTGTCTAAAGGGAAAATTTAAAACACTGTTATGGTTCATTAATGACAACAGAAGAAGAATTTTTTCTTGTGCTGACATTCACTTTAAAACAAGATCCTCCTTTACAGTCTGCTCCACCTCCTAAAATCATAGGGGAAACTCTTAACATGCCCATTTATTCAGGGTCTCCTGGTTTTTCTCATTACTTCACCATCTGTGAAGTTGCACTATAGGCGATGTGGGCTTTTGCCAAGGATGCTGCCTAACAGTAACTCAATTTCAAATGGTCACATGGTGTCTTGGTTTATAACAGTGGTAATCAAATGAAAAACCAATTACCAGCCAGAAGCTTAACAGTTTGAAATGGGTCTGCATGTGCTACACTTGAAATGGTAAACGCATTGTCAATGACCATAATAAAAAATGTTAGGGTTACTTCATGTGAGGTCTCTAGTGATGATGCTGGAGTAAAATCGATTAAGCTTCTGGATTGTAGCATCTCAGAAGAGTGGCACTTTGCTTTAATTACTCAGATTCATCTGGGCCAAAAGGACATTGTTGTCATCATTACTGTTACATTTCTGTAGAAATTATTTTCAGGCTCAGTGTTGAGATTTGCTCATTATTGTCAATATTGTACATTGTTGCTGTTGGCAGACTTGCCTATTAATTATTGCCTCATGTTCATTGTGCCTCTCATTAAATGGCACACTCTGTTTAGGTGTGTGCTCCCTACAGTGTGTGTCTGTGCGTGTTGGTCTTGTGGTAGACTGTGGTGAACCCTGCCTCTTGCCCATTTTTTGCTGGGATCCTCTGTGACACAGGTATCATTAATGGATGGGTGATATTTGAAAGAAGCAAACACAACCATGTGTGCACTCATGTATTCAGTCCTTCTTCTGCAGTCAAATTCATTCATAATAGGTGATGTAGCCATGTAATTCCCACTCGATTCTGACATGTGAAGCATTCTGTTTTTACCTCTAAGAATCTCTTCATTTTTGTCCTTTTAATCCGCAGGAAATGCTTGATCCTTCACACTAAATAAAGTCATGCAGATCCACACCATGCATTTGCTATAAATAATAAAGCTTCGTGTGCTCTTCACTGGATTAGTCTGCAAAGGCCTGCAGAACCATTGTTAAGTCAAAGAGACATCATCTCTTGGTTTGAGGATGTTGGACAGGAAAGGAGCGACTCCTCCCTGTGCCTCAACCAGCCTCATCTGTCTGTCAGGGCAGGTAATGCGCCCTCAATGCCAAACTGGCTGCAGTACGCACTGGCAAATGTTTGCTGTTGCGCGCACGCTGTTCCTCCTTGAAGAAGGTTATTCCGTCGGTTTTTGAGTGGATTACATTATTTTAGTTTTCTGGTTGCCGCCGGAACGAGAAGAAACATGTCAAAAGCTATCACTAAACTTTATTGGAGGCAGAAACAATGAGAGGAATCTGAATATCTCACTCGGCAGATCAAGGTGAGTGAGTGAGATCTTAATCTCAGTAAAAAAAATCTTGATCTTGATCTTGCATTTTATATTTCGTTTGATACGTACCATTCCAGTGTGGGCTTGCATATTAGCCTATAGTTACTGACCCATGTCACGCTTCACACTTATAATGTAATTTCTTTATAAATAAGTATCACAAAATGCCACAGGACACTTTTTCGGCATTACTAATTCATTAAATCTCAAAATAACCGAATGGGATATTCCCAAAGCTCACATAAAGGTTACTTCGACAACAGTTCATTGTTCCGCAGGTTGTCAGTGATCTTCACTGTTAAATAGTCCGGTTTGTCTAGAGAGTAAATAAATGAAGTGACGATATTTCTACAATAATATTAACAAGCGAATAATGCATGTGGCTATAGTTTCTGCGTTCATTGTGATAGCCCAAGATCTTTGTGAGGGAAAATCCACCCTAAAAAGAATGTGTGTATTCTGCTTTCTGATTGTAGGCTGTAAGTCACACATACAGCAGTTATCATAAAAGCTGGAAATTAGAACAGCAAGACTTGGATTGATGAAGTCATCAGATGTCACCTTTGTTGGACTGGCTGACTTCATAGCTAATAAATGTTTAATTTGACTTTTATTTGAAGATAGCTATTACCAGAAAATAATATTACTGCAAAATCACCATGACTGCTGTCAGTCTCCATAGCTTTTGTTGTATCTGTGAAACATATATAAGTCAGGATCCTGACTGCATCATCTACAGTATGTCTTATGTGATGTTTATTTCATTTTATCAAGACTAATGTAAATGTAAAAATTACAAATGTGCTGTATAACATCAGAGGTGTGGCATGTTTTAATGCTGGTTTATGGTTGACCTTTCACTGCTACAAGTATATTTGAAAATATCTCATGTGACATGTATACACATGTGCTTTTAACATGCACATCATAAATCATAGTTGATCTTCCTCTGTAATGCAAGTTAGATATTTAGTAGGCATCAGTGCAGCCTCAATTGAAATAAATGTTTTTTTTGAATTCCTTAAAATCTACACATGCGTTGAAAATAATACTTCTACAGCGTCACTGCTGTCTGGCGACACAGTGCCTTTTCAGTAAATGCAATGCTAAAAATAAAATTTTCTAGATTCCACCCTATTGTTTTTGCAGAAATACTCAACAGCCAGATGGTTCCTTGTGAACTATATAAAAACAGAATATCATTTACTTTGTCTGGGTCACAACATGTATGTTCATTGCTGAAACTGAAACTCTTTTCACAGACTGCTTTATGGGGACTGTTAGCCATGGATACAGCAGAGCAACTAAACACAACTCAAGTGGACGATTCACAACTTGAACTTAAATCTTCCAACTGCTGCTCAACAACAGGCACAATAAATGATGAGAACTTTTTGAAGCTGGACGACAGCACAAAGCTGGTTGGAGTTCAAGTTGTTCTCATCCTCGCTTACAGCACAATCATACTGTTTGGAGTCACTGGAAACTCCTTAGTGATATATGTCGTCTACAAGTTTAAAAATCTACGAACTGTAACCAATTTCTTTATTGTAAACTTAGCTGTGGCAGACTTGCTGGTGAACACGCTGTGCTTACCCTTCACCCTCGTCTACACTCTGTATGGCGAGTGGAAGTTGGGTCAGGTGCTGTGTTTCATGGTGCCCTGCGCTCAAGGCCTGGCAGTGCACGTATCCACCATCACCTTGAACATCATCGCCCTGGACCGCCACAGGAGCATCGTCTACCACATGGAGAGCAAGATGTCCAAAGACATGTGCACTGTGGTCATTGTCATCACGTGGGCCGTCAGCGCCTTGTTGGCCAGCCCGCTCGCCATCTTCAGGGAGTACGGGACGTTTGATCTTTCACCAGGCGAGTCTATTCAGGTGTGTACAGAGAAGTGGCCGGAAAACAGCATGAACGGAAGCATCTACAGTATATCAGCACTTCTGGTACAGTACGGTTTACCTCTGGTCATCAACTCTGTTGCTTACATCAGAATCTGGAATAAGCTGAAGAATCACATGAGTCATGGAGGTCGAAATGACCGCCATCAGCGCAGGAAGAAGACCACTAAGATGCTGCTGACCATGGTGGTGGTCTTCGCTGTCAGTTGGTTGCCTTTGCATGCATTTCAGTTGGCGGTTGACATTGACAGCACTGTGTTGTATATGAAGGACTTTAAGCTGCTTTTCACTGTGTTCCACATTGTGGCTATGTGCTCGACGTTCGTCAATCCCATCCTGTATGGGTGGATGAACAACAACTACAGGATAGCCTTCATGTCTGTGTGTAAGTGTTACATGCCCTTCAGTTTATGTTCTAAAGGCAGAGAGACACAAAAAGATGAAGACAGGGTTTTTACTGAATGCAAATCAACACATGTCTAAATTGCACTGTAAAAGAAGGTCAATTTCTGATCTGTTGTGGAATTGTGAAGTTGGTATTTTTGTTTTGTGTGGGCATGTTGGCCTCTCAGATGAGGGAGAATGAAAAGTAAGTAACTAAATCACCATTATCCAACACTGTGGCAAAGGTGGGTCAAGCTAGCTCTCGTTCCAATCAATACTTTGATGAGTCAAGCTATGATGGATATCCCTCTTTGTGTTTGGCCTTTACATGTATGATTTTTCAGACTGTTTGTTCTGATGTGTTAAACAATTTGAATCTTAAACTTGGAAACAGATGATGCAACCTTAAGAGCCTTGTTAATTCCACACACCTCTCACTTTTCAAAATCCTATTTTTATCCCCCTAACTTGGTTGATGTTTTTACTAAAGTCTCCAGATTCCAATTCTCCAGATGAGAGAAGATCTGACTGATAAAAATGTTGATACACTCATCTGAGTCACCTGCAGTTCTTACCTTGAGCTCAGAGCTATGAGATACGGAGCAGCAGTAAATCTTTGCAGGTGTTTTTAAGGTAAAAAAAGAGAGAATTTACTCTATATTTTTATTTACAGATATAATTTCAAAGACCGAAAAGATGCTAGAATTGAACACTGGTCAAAAATTAGATAAAAAAAGTCAAGCTGCAAAGATAACAAATAAGTTACTAACTGACATTCAATATAATGTGACCTACTATTGTCGCAGTGTTTGTTATTATGATTGTGTTACTAAGGATTAGTGAGTATTTATTATTTGGTTTCTCTTCTCATAACTACAGTCTAGTTATCAAGTGTTGACCATAGCAGTAAATGATAATTCAAACACCAAAAACATTATAATGAACCAGGAAATAATGTGTGTATATATATATCACATACAATGCAAATCACAAAACATTCATAAATTCACACATACAGCTATCATAATAAATAAACTAAAAAGTAACCTGCCAACATAAAATGATTTTCATACATACACAAAAACCTGTGTGCACAAGTCATCCGTATACACTTAAGAACTGAGGTAATATACTGCCATGAAATGACATCTCAAAAAGTTAAAAATAACTAACTAGTTTGGTCTATGCACAATACTAATTCTGAGTAGGTATTTAGATACTCTTCTAACCCTCATTTTAGTAAAAGTTTTGATGTGATTGAAAGACTTTGAAGCATGTAAATACACATGATACAATTGTTGGGTTTCTCTAAATAATATTACAAAGAGTACGTTCTTGACCTTCTCTATGAAAAGTGCAATAACTTCTTTTATGAATTTGCGCTATATGAATAAAATTTTATTGAATTGAACATGATTATGGTGAAATATGGTGACTATGATATATGGCAATGCTTCTTTAGAAAAAAGAAGATGGTCATATCTAATAAACCTCCAGAATTCTTTAGAATAATTATTTTGCAACTTTCTGGCAAGTGAACCTGCCTTTATAGTACTTTAATTTGGTTAAATGAAGCTGAGAGCTTGAACAAGGGCCAATGCTTAACTTTTCTGTACCATAAAAGCCTCTCACCGCAGTGTGCATTTCAATAATAATAATAATGAATGCTTTGTTTTTACAGTTTAGCCCTTACATACCACCTTATAAAGTTTGTCAATATGATGTCAAACTGTCATAACCTCAGTATGTTTCCCTAATATGTTGTTGTACATTTCTGCAGTGTACACCTCTACATGAAGTATCATCTCTAGGTTGTTCTATGCTATTCAAAAGTAGCTCAGTTGACCTGGCATACTTGATTATAGAACTGTGATATAGTTACCACCACTATTATCATTTAAAGTCAGGTAACTACAGTTAGTATAAGTTATCAGAGGACATATGTCCGTGTTAAATGTATTTTTCAAAATGTATACATTACTATAAGAAGGTGGTATTGTGTTTTTTATACTTGTGTTGTTGCTGCTTTATAGAACAAGCACATCTCATAACTGGATCTTTTGTAGATGAATGTGTAATGATGCTTTTACATCAACAAGCAATGATTGGTTTGCCAGAGCTGAATGGGGGAGCAACCCAGAGCCATGTAGAGAGCTCCATGATGCTGTAAGTAAAAATGGTCAATTAGACATAATGTTTATTATTGAGAATTGTTTATTGTTTATTTTTGTATAGTATGATTGTATAGAAAAACAGTGTACGCAGTCATGCCAATAAAGCCACTTGAAATTGAAATGGATAGATAAAGCTACTTTGTCTCTACATGGCTCTGGAGCAACCTTATGGATGGAGTGGGCAAAAGCAGCCGGGGTGCATGGCAGAGACTATACGGAAAAACCTAACCCCTCTATATTTCTGAACAAGAGCCTGGAGTGAGCTCAACTGCAGGCAAACATCATAAGCATGCGCTTGTGTAGTTACCTTCACTGCCAGAAGAAGAGACAAAAGTTCTGCACTGCAGGTGACATCTAGTACTAATATGCTCCACAATGACAGTGCTTTGACACTTGTTTAATAAAGCCTTATGGCTTACTAAAACCAATGGTAAAACAAATAGTCAATTAACAGAAAAGTAATCATTTATGTCATTTATGGAGAAAAAATGTTTATTGTTGATTGATTCTTGATTATAAAATTAATGGATTCATTGTAAATATAATATAATCAACTGCTGAATGTTAGTCCTTAAAAATATATGTGGATCTCTTTGACATACTACATGTGAGATTATCTTCTAAAGCCTCTTGTTTATTTTGGCTGTTAACGAGTTGGAAGAATAGCTATGGGTTTCAGTGAGGGGTCAATGATAACTGTCAGGATTCAGGCATACTGTATATGGACTGGTAAACTGGCAACCGTGCAAAGTTTTGTGTTTTTTTATACTGGAATCTAGTCATTTAATTCAGTGTTACTGCACTAATAATGTTGCTAAATGGAAATTTAGTGGACATGCCATAATCTCCCACATATTATCAGCCTGGTTGGTCATACTAATAGTAATATCTTGTCAAATGTCAGCAATCCAGCCAAGTTAAAAAGTGCTTTATTTATTTTACTGCATGCTATATAATATAAAAATAAATATTATTCAGGGAACATGTGAAATGGAGAAACTGACACGTGAAGTATACCACTGAGTAATCTACATTCTTCAGCCTTGACATTTATTAGGGTCTTTGTTATGTGGTCTGAGCTACAGTCTCAGAGGGATGCAGATGTTTGCGTGTGTTAGCATTATGTGCTCAGTAGGAAACTGAAATAGGATTTCTTATTAGACAGACGGGAGGAGTTCCTCCCCTTCCCCGACTTGTCTTTGTTCGCAGTGAGCATCCTAATTACCATTATTTGCTTTTACACTGATTACACCGGTGCTCAGGTTTGAAGAGCTCTTCCTGTTGACTAGGTCCTCACTGATTTATTTTGTGCATACGTGAGGAGCCAAGGGACTGGGAAATTAGCTCTACATCTCCATTTTTAGTAGCTAAATTATTCATGGTGTATTCAGCACAAAATCAATAATTGTTTCTTTAACTGTCTGATGTTATTGAGCAGCTGCTGCAGCCACAAAGTGTACCCTCAGGAGGATGATACTTGCTAATCAAGTAAAATGAACAATAGCTTTGAAACTAATTAAATTAATCCTTGTTTGCTGATGTCTTGTCTTTCTGCTTTCATAAGAGAGAGCACTTACGTCATTCCCTATGTTTGTCTCTTGGCTTTCCATCCATATATATTAACATTTGATTGTCAATTAATTGTATTTCTTTTGTGAAATAATTAAGTGGGGTTGGTACTGAAACACAATGTGACAGTGTATTCCGAGATGGCTCACTTAAAGTAGAGCCTTTTAGCTTAGTGGTGACTCATGCCGTTCTTTAGCCACTTGAGTGCATTTAAGTGGGATGTCGGTACTATACGATTTTAATTCATTAAATTATTTAATTCATTATATTATTAATGGAAAGCTAATGCTCAAAAGATTAGTCATAGTTGTCAATTACTCAATTAGGTAGATAATTCACTGTGTATGAGGTCAAACTGCCCTTGGGCTTCAACTTATCTAATTTGTTTGCTCATCAGATTATTGTAATGTAGATAGTTTTAAACCAATGGAATAGGAAATAAGATTTTTAAAGCTGTATTAATTTTTGGAAATAACAGCCCTGACATAATATTGCCGTATAAAATGATTATACTGCAGCTAATATGAGCAACACCTACTTACACATCCAGCTTTCATTTTGACTAATTTGTTTGCCATCTGTAGAATCTCAGACATTCGTTGACCTTGTAGCTGTGGGTGTGTCCAGCTCCACAGAAAAAAAATACTGTCTTGCTAGTTTGCTAGGTGTTGGACTTGCTTCCCCAACTTTGATGCTAAGTTTGTCTGTTTTCTGTTTGACAATGCAGGCAGCATACAATGGCTTTATCAGAAGTTTCTTAAAACAACCACCTGTGGTTGTTACTTCAAGCTGCTGAGAGTCAACCATAAATTGTATAAATCAGGAAATCAGCTCGGTGGAACTGTGGCGTGGTGTGGTGGTAATAATCTGTGTTTGTCAGTACAAGCCACACCTTCCACTTAATTTAACATCAAGATAAAAAATGTATTAAAGTAGCAGTCTCAGGTAACTTGTGGTGGGCATTCCTGTTTGTTTGTTTGTTTGATATTTTACAGACTTAACAATAACTCACCAATAAATTATATACTCAATCAATAATCAAAATAATCATTATTTGCAGCACTAGAGTGAAATCTACCATTAAACATACAACAGAATACCTGATACAGACTGTAGGCATTTTTTAATCTCAAAACATACAAGTCAATGCATTAGTTTGACTACAGTGTTTTCTGTTGTCATTTCCGATGGTCAAATAGCTAAAATTTGATACTTTAGTTCCCTCCAGTGTCTCAACAGGGTCTTACAACAGCAGCAGGATCAACTTCTCTCAGTATATAGTAGGCTATGTGCAGCGGACTCTGTCATAGAAGCAATATTGGTGCTACTGTTGAGGCTTATTCTTATTAAGCAATGTCGCTGTTTTTGTTTGTATCCTGCTGTGCAAGTGCGTTCACTTGACAGTTTCAGGGGTTTATGAACCAATAGAAGGCTGATGTGTTTATTCAGGGTGCGAACTATGGGGGAGCCAGGGGAAGCCTAGTTCCCCTAAAAGCATGATTTGTGATATTTTTGGGGGGGTCTCTAAAATATTGACAGCATGCTTTATCGCCATTAATTTCTATATATTTCTCTATCATCATGGATCCATGTGTAAATTCGGGAGTGTCAGACTTCATCCAGCCAGAGGGGACAGTTACTGACAGATACCACAGATGGCCGGTCTCTCCGCGACCTCCTGGCCCAGTACGCTCCACCGCCCCACTCCCCCTTTCGGTACAGGTTGTGTCGCTAGTACGTCCGACGCTCTGTAAACAGTTCGTGATCGTTCCGTCTGGCTGGATATTAGCAT